GGATCCATTTGTTTGGACATAATCGCTCTGCCATATATCGCAGTCATACCTCGAGTAATAATAGATAAAGAATCCTGAGTGCTCCATTGGAAGATAATTGAAGATATTATGAGACAACTGTAGGATAACTACGAATACGACTTGAAGGCATGTGGAGCCAACATTGGCAGTTTGCCTCGTCAGTGTCAGTGTCTTAGGACGTATATGGACTAAGTAACCACCGTCCTTGGAGGCTCGTAGAGCTACCGGCAATAATGCTGTGCCTCTGTTGGACATATAAAGGCCTACGTTAGTGAAGCCAACATGGATACCGGTTAAGTTGCCAACATTCCGTCTCTCTTATGGGACCTATAATGCTTCTCCGTGCACTGGTCATGCAGGCGAGGCAACCGAGGGAGTTTCCTTGAATGCCGACAGTAATGCCACATCCGTGGCAGTTATATAGGCTTACTAGGTACCCATCACGTTGACAGGAGGCTCCAACTATATAGCACCATGTCTCCCACTACTTGCAACATGCCGCGTCCCTGTACTTCATTCCTGAGTGCTCGAGTAAATGACCATATGGGAAATGTAAGTGTGCATGGACCTGATTCAGGTTTATTTAAATAAATAAATAAATATTTATTCTCGACTATGCGAGGCACGCCAGTTGAGGCATGATCAGGTATGTACAGCTGTACAGACATTTTATGGGAACTGTAGTGACAGTAGAAAATTGTTCATATGTCCATGCTTGGAACTGTGCTATGGTGAACATGCGAAATAACGCTTTGGTTGTAGTGGGATCGGGATCCATTTGTTTGGACATAATCGCTCTGCCATATATCGCAGTCATACCTCGAGTAATAATAGATAAAGAATCCTGAGTGCTCCATTGGAAGATAATTGAAGAGCAAGCTATCCAGTATGATGATTCTAATTGAGCTGCCAGTGTGAAGTTATGGGCTGTGACTTTATTCGGTGGCGAGTCACATTCGCCACGTTGCAGTGTTGTTAAACGGACATTTGTGGATTTTTATAGGGAGAACGCTTGCCAGGCGAAAACCCACCACGTCCTGAAACACTGCCGCCAATCCATTGGATGGCAAGTTGTAACTGGCTATGTTTCTTGTTGAACGTTCTTTTGCTCCGTTATTCGCAGTCAAGTTGCGTCCCATTTTTCTGCTGACTGATGCGCTATGCGAGTGGCCATTGCGTGCCTGGGTCCTCTCCTGTTCCAGATCGGTAGGTCAGGAACTAAGCATTCTTTCTGGATATGATGTGTTGATCATCTGCAGAACCACGTGAAGCCTCGAAGAATATACGTTGAAATATGTTGAAGTCTTGGAGGACAGGATAGGTTCAGAAGAAAGAATCGCAGATCCCCCGGGGTATGTAGTAAAATTGATTAGAGATTGTGGTAACCACGGCCATTTGAGCGGTCAAAGCGGATTGAAGAGCTTAGAATGACCGATTGTTCAAGCTTTGTTTTGGCAAGAGAATGTGCCTTCCGTAGTCGAAAGTCCTCCAGTCAAGAGATATGTGGAATAGGTATTGTTAGGTAAATTGGACTCAGTGGTTCATGCCGCGGAAGAATTGATTGATTTGTGCGGTTAGTAAGTTGTAAAAAAGTTGATAATTTTCCGCTTATGTCCAGGTAGAGGAACTGTGTGCCTTGTATTGTTGTCGAAACGGAGGACAATTCCTTGGGTGCGTGTCGCCGTACCTGTGACAGACTCGGGAGAAAAAGAAAACGAACAGAGACAGCCACACAGACAGAAAAAGGAATGCATCTGGAATGCAGTCAATCAATTGCGGCGATGCCTGAACTATTGTACCACTATGCATGTAATTGTTATTTAAATATCGCATATACACGGATATCATAAGTGGCGAAATACGACGAGAATCGAGCGGAACACGGATCAGTAAAGAATGAAAGATTGAAGATGAAGCAGGAGTGTTTGGGGAGGGGTCAGAAAGCAAAAGAGCGTTTAGATGAGACTGGATAAGTCAGCAAGATGAAGCTAGGCAGTCAGATTAAAGTGGGGATAACAGTAGTGAATGTCGCGTGAAAGTAAATTTGCGGGACTACAGAGGCTATATAAAAAGCCCGTTAGCATATCAAACGAAGCTCTCAGGCTGAGGGCCAGGGTGTGTTGTGACTGCACAGCCTAGAACACGTGCGTCTCTGATTTCTGGAAACAATCAGAAAATAGGAGACTGGTCAGACCAGGCTAGAGTGGAGCCAGGCCCGACGTGTTATCCGTCCAATGGATAAAGGAAGGCAGACAGAGTGCGAAAATGAAAGAACGTAATCGTGAAGGAGACACTTAAGGGGAAGTGGAAGAGCCTACAAAAATCTCGAGGTGTTGCGAACAGACCTTTGGACCAGTCGATGGTTCAAAAGTATGGGCTCAGTATTCGGAAAGCAGGAGACCATGGAGATGAGATGAGGATATCGGCCCATGGAGAGAAAGCCGTATTATAAATGTCAGAAAGTTAACAGAGCGTCAACAGGATAGAAGTGTTAAAGATAAAAGCGGATATACTAGTGATGAATCATGAGCAGCAGTGCTCTGGAGGCTGGGGAGACAGAGCATTGCGCCTGCAGAGACTAGATCATTTAGAACTCAGAAGTTTGAGAGAGGTCAGAAGGCAGGAGGCCGTACAGCCAGAACCAGATAAGTCAGGCTAGAGTGTAAAAAAGGGCTGTATGGGTGAGAAGAGAAAGAAAAAGAAAGCCAACGATATGCTCCAGGTGCTGTGCGCAGACAGTTGGAGCTTACGGTTTCTGTTCATTAGGGATACGGAAGTTGGAAGGTACGAGATCGTTGGGACGAGCCCAGAATGTCAGCTCGTAGGGTGAAAGTCGTATTAGTAAAGTCTAAGTGCTGACAGAGAGCATCAACAGAAATGGACATGTTAAGGAAAAAGGGGACATGATACTAAGGTTCAATCATGACCAGCGGTGGTCTGACGGTGAGGGTAACAGACTTTCGTCGGCAGAGTCTAGATCATAGATCACAGAAGTCCAAGCGATGTCAGAAGACAGGAGAGCGTACAGTCAAACCCGGGTAAGTCAGCAAGCTGAAGCTAGGCCTCCAAAGTAAGGTGGGAATAAGTAATGAGTGTCATCAGAAAGCAGTTTGGGAAGCAAGTGACCATATGAAAAGGCGGTTGCATGCCGAGGAACGGTCTCAGGATAAGGGGGACAGAGCATCAGGACAACAGAGCCTAGATCGTTAATGTTTGGAATGTAAGGAAGTAGTCAGAAAGCAGGAGGCTGGTCGGACGCCGCTAGAGTAGTGCCAGATCCGGAGAGTTGCCTGACCGGTGGAAAAAGGAATACACACAAAATGAGAAAAGGAAAAGTTTTCATTGATGAGTGAAGAAGTCAGCGATATTCCCGACGTGGTATGAACAGACTATTTGGTCTGCCGACCCCTGATCATCAGGGTCACAGAAGTCGGAAGTTGGGTCGTTCAGACCAGACTAGAAAGTCGACTCATAAGGAGAAAGGCGTAATAGTAAGCTATGCATTTTGTCGGATCGAATCGGCAGAAATGGTCACGTTAAGGATGAGAGAGGACATGATGATTGCGATTAGTCACGACCAGCAACGTTCTTGAGGTGAGGGTAACAAAGCGTTGCGTCGGCAGTGACAAGAACAGTGAGATCGCAGAAGCCCGAGAGAGGTCAGAAAAAAGGAGACCATTCCGCCTATCGCTGATCAATCGGGTCACAGCAGTCAAAAGCAGAGACCACTGAGACGGAAAAGCAGACTGATAAGTCTGCCCATCCCTGATCATTCAGGTCACAGTAGTCAGAAACAAAGAGACCATTGAGACAAGATTAGAAAATCAGCTCAAAGAGTGAAAACCGTAGAATTTAGGTCTAGATAATAAAGGAATCGTCGGCAGAATAGGCACGTACACGAAGAAAGGGGACATAGTAATAAGGATTAATCAGGACCAACAAAGCATTTCAGTTGAGGGATACAGTACGTTACGTTGGCAGAGCCTAAGCCATTGAGATCTCAGAAGTCTGAGGTGGGTGTGGAATCGCGGGAGGGGCCCGGAGGGCGGGGGGGAGGTGGGCGAGGGTTGGGTGGTGATGTGTGTGTATGGGTAGGTCGGGGAGGTGGGCGTGGGGGGGGGGCGGTGGTGTTAAGGAGCTGTAGGGGGGTTGGGGGGGGAGAGGACGGGTGGGTGGATGTGTGTCGGTCGGCGGGAGAGAGCTGGGTTGGCAGGGGGGGGGGGGAGGGGGGGGTCACAAGAAGCAGGGAGGACCGTTCTAAGAGGGTCGCCAGCGTGGGGTGTGTGGACTAGGGATAACGTCCACGTCGGTTATGAGTTAGGCCGCGGGGGGGGGTTGGGGGGTATGGGATGAGCAGTGAGGTGTTTTGGGGTGTTTGGGGGTGCTGGGTGCTGGCGGGGTTGAGGGGTTTGCTGAGTGGCGAGGGCGGGAGGGGGGCCGCTGGGTAGGGGGGGGGGCGTATTCTGTGGGCGGAGGGCGGGGTCGTGGGAGCATGTGGAAGAGTGCGGATGCGGTCCAGTGTGGGGTTGGAGGAGTTAGGGATTGAGGGTCCAGGGGGGCCTTCTCGTGGGGTGGGGGGGGGAAGCTGCTTCGGGGGGGGCGCGGGGGTGGTTGGGGGCAGATTCTCGGGGCGGCCGGGGTTTGGTCAGTCGGAGATGGGGAGTTAGTGCGGGGGAGGGGCGTTGGGAGGCCTATTGCGTGGGCGGTAGAGTACTCTTGGTTTCGTCCGGGTTGGAACGCGGGGCGGGGCAATGGGCGGGGCCAGGTGTAGATTGGGAGGGCTGTTGGGTGCAGTTGGGGGGTTGGGTGGGGGGGGGGAAGGCCGCGGGTGGCTTGGTGGGGGAGGGGCGTGCGGGGCTGGGGGGAGGGCGGTGTGAGGCGGGGGGGGGTCGGGTAGGGGGGGGGGGCGGCGGGGGGCTCTGTTCTAGCAGCTTCGGTGGTTGTTGAGGTGGTGGTAGGTTGGGGTAGGTTTTGTATGTCTATGGGGAGGGGGCTGCGTGTTTATGGGCTGGTCGTATGGTCGGTGTTGGGGGGGATTGGAGAGAGCGGGGAGTGGTGGTGCCCGTGTTGCTGGTCGGTGTGGGGGTGTGGGGATATGGACTCGTGGGTTGGATGGGGTGGTGTCGGGGATGGGAGGGGGTGGGGTTGGTGTAATGTGTGTGGTGTATGGGTGGGGGTTGCACGGGTGTGTGGGAGGATGCCCGGTGGGTGGGTTCGGGGGTGGGGGGTCTGCGTTTTGGTCGGGTGTTTGTTTGTTGGGAGGTGGGGTGGCTCGGTTGGAAGAGTCCGGCAGAGTTTGGGGTGTCGTCCGGGGGGTCTTGGGTGGGTCCGCGGTGTTGGGGTGGGGTGTAAAGGGGGGGTTTTTTCGAGTTGGGGGCGGGGTTGCCTTGGGAGCTGGGGGGGTGGGGGTTGGGGTGGGTGAGCAGCTGGGGTGCCAGGCTTTGACGATTTACGGGGTTGAAGGTGCGTTGTTGGGTTAGCTGTGGGGGGGGGGGGTTGAGTGGAGTGCGGGGGGAGGGTAGTGCAGTGCGGGATACTGGGGGCGCTGGGGGCGGCGAGGGGGGATTGGGAACGGATGGGTTGGGTGTTTTTAATGGTCTGGAGTAACGGTAGTGGTGGGAGGGGGCGGTTGGGTTGGGGAGTCGGGCCGGATGGGCACTGGGTGAGACCGTGAGGTGCGGTCTTGATTCGCAGGACCGGGGGGTGAGCTGGGGTGGGGTGGGGTGGGCCGGGGGACGGAGGGGTTCGGGAGGGGGAGGAGTGTAGGTGCGGGCGCCTTCGAGGGGGGCCATGGGTAGGAGAGGGTGGGGGGGGCCGGGGGAAGCTTCTGCTGTGGAGTGGTGGGAGGCAGCTGGTGGGTGGTGGGGGACGGGGGATGGGTGAGGGGGACGGTCGGAGGTGGGTCGCAAAAAGGGGGTCAGCAAAGCAGGTAGAGGAGGGGAGCGGG